GCCTAGCAGAGGTTTTCGTATTTAAATGAAGTTGCTGAGAGCCATGTAAATGCAAATCAACTGTTGAGCACCGGCCTTTTGACTCTCATTCCTGTTGTAGCTAAAGCTAAAGCTCTGTTTCGGAGTAACCGCGTTTCCACCGGCCCACTTGGCCCTGTTGCAGAGTACCGCCTCCTGGTGGCGGGGGGGTGTAGCGCCCCGCCTCCAGGAGCTACGTGCTGTGCTTCGTTACATGCGACCTAACGCGAGTTGTTGTTTTTCTGATACAAAAGAAGAAGAGAGAGCTGAGCTATTTTTTTATAGCCTGATTGCGATTTTTCTGAGACTAAAAGAAAATGTGACAGTGGGAGGAAAGCTGCGATGTGGTGAGGAGGAGCTGATCTCCGCCTTGCAGCGGCAGGAAAGCAGGTGGCTCAGACGGTTCAGGTAAGCTAACGATGATTTTTGTATTAAACTACGATAAAACTTGTAATAGTGCCGAATATACATGAGCTAATGTCAGTCAGGGTGTTGCACTCGGATTGAACAGCCAGATGCAGGGAGTTTCAAACGGGTGCAGTTTAACCTCGACCTTTCTTTCCATCGACACCGTGAAAACTGTAGTATAAAACAAAAGGATACAGAACCGTTGGACATGCTCAGCTCTTTAGAGACATGCTCGGACGTGTTCGGACTTATCCGCTCCCCTCGTCTCGACCTCTCTGTCAGGGCGGAGCGGCTCGTTAAGCCGAGAGAGAACCACCGTTTCCCGCTGGTTATCGGCAACGAGTTAAAAGCAAAAATAAGACAATATCTAGTGTTAATGATTGCTAATTTTATTATTATTGTTATTATTAATTACAAAAACATTTATTTAAAGTTGGTGCTGAAAGTTATGCAGGACTAAGTTAATGTTTAAGTTAAGTTTTACTTATAAATTAAATTATATGTGTCATTTTATTTTATTAAGTGCTATATTTCTTTTTTAGGAACATAAAATTACTCTGAACATTTGAAATTACTGGGTAATTACAAGTTATTTGCAGTGGAGATGGCTATAAGATTGAATTCAGTCATTCATAAAGTTTGATTTGTGATTTTGTCTTTTCTGATCGATTTTGTAATTTTACATCCAGGATCTTCAGGAGAATTAAGCGAAACCCAAACTCCTTGTTCTTAACGAAGACCTTCTGTATGGCCAAGAACATGAGTCTGCTCCCTGAAGGTATTGAAGCCAAGAAGAAATGTTCTCTAACATGTTTTCATGCTTTTTAGTTACTGCAACCTTTTAACACTAGCTTATGTTTGATCCAGAAGATGATGTAGCCGTATATATATACTGCTCAAAAAAATAAAGGGAACATTTCACTTTAATTTTGTGTGTGGTTCCAAATCCAGGCCTCCATTGGTTAATAAATTTGATTTCCATTGATGATTTTTGTGTCAT